GGACTGTATTTCCTTACATTGCTCCTCTGCCTTGTGGATTAGACCTTTATGTTGAACGTCCGGGGTGTGGTTCTTTAGGAAAACCACCTGCTTCGGTTTGGGCACCTGTGAAGTATCCTAGCACTCACACAAATCAAATGATTTATGTGGCGCATATCTACTTGATGTCTTCTTGTACCAATGCTTATGTGTTTAAATAAATAAATAAAATGAAACATCATTGGTTTGGTGCAGTCCGCCTCCATTTTAGACGCTGTCTCTCTTTATGCTTAAAATAAACAATTGTCTGAGCACAATTGCAGCAGACGATCACAATTATTTGTTAGCGGAACAGGAATACCAAAATACCCACTCAAATGTCTTTCTGATTGATTTGAGCTACCTACTTGGGCATTAAAGTCTTCTGCTACAAGTACTATGTCTGCGTGTTTAACTTTCTGAAGTTCAGAAAGCTTTCTCTAAAACTCATTATTCACTTCATCCGGGATGCAGTCAGTGGTAGCGTAGGCAGAAATGACGAAAAGGCGACGATATTGTCCCTATACTTCTGAGTTCTTACGGAGCCATTTAGCCGAAGGGCACATAGGCGACTATCAACAAGGATCCATTCTAAAAGTGCTTCTCCTTTCATATTTAGTGCAATGAGTACACCTGCCAGTCCATGGGAACTTGTCGTCGGGTCGCCAGATAAACGGAGAGTTTCTCGTTTAGGCGGGGTGAGGTCAAGTGAATGATCACACCAGGATCCTGTATGCATGTTTCAGAGACAATAATTTTCGTGTTAGCTCCGTACTTATTGGGACTTTATCTCCGGAGACGGAAATCTGTAGGATAAAGCGAGGTTTGCATTTTTAAGGTCGACCTTTTCTAACCTCACCTTTCCTTGTGGGAAGTCAGCATCGCTGTTATGCTGTTTCTGAGACAATTTATTGCTGTCACACCTCTGTACTGTCAGTAGTATGACTTCACTCTCGGACCATGGGTGTGCTGCTTTTACTCTTATCGTCGTTCAATCGATCTGCCTGGCATAGTAGGACCTTGAGGAACGATTGTTCCAGTCAGTATAGCCTGATTAGTTCATCACGATAGGCAAGCACAATCACAACGTCAAAGTAGCAGCAACGGTCGTGGGTCACACAGTCATGAAATAGTTTTCTTTTCTAATAAGTTTAATTTCTTTCTTACTTCTGTTGGGGAAATAACCAAATAAATTATTACCAGACAAAATTATAAACATCAAACAATCTCAAGGGTGTAATAAATAAATTGAAAAATATCACTATTACAAACAGAAATGCATTTTTATTTATGGTAAATTATTCTGTAATTTTCTTCTAAGTGAAAATTGACTAAAAAATGTGATGTACGATCATCTATTGAGTGCATAATAATATGAAACAGAATACAAAGTAAATACTAAAAGATGGAAAAATTCGTTGAAGGATATGTCATGGTTAACATGATCACCTAAAGCACATTTTGTAATATCTGAACTACCCATTCATCGTACAGTATATCGTATTGTGTATTATCAACTACATCGTGAACACCGCTGCCAAAGTCAAGACTAATAGTTGTCGTTTGTTGGTAATAATATGGTTCGTTTGAAGTTCATCAGAATAACACAAATTTTACTACTGTGATATGACTGAATAAGTGTCAGTATGTTCGCCTTGAAGTCAGAGGACCGGTAAATCAATGATCTTAACATTACCAAATGCATTTTGTGATGATGGCCAACTGTCTAATTAACATTAAATTTTGAAATGACACGGAACAGTGACACGTATAAGGTAGTTAACTTGACAAATTTATGCTTCACATTTTAAAATAATAAAGACTTCAAATCGCTATTTCAAAAGGAATGACAACACCTATTTGATTAAATGTATAGTACGTTCTGTGTACATATATGATGAGATTATATTTTACGTAATACAAAATTGATTATATTGGTATTTCTCTGTGTAACGTATAAGTTATTAACTTTTCACTAACTGAAAGTCAATATAAATATGGTCAAGACTGAGCTTTACAAATATGTTAAGTAGCTCACAATTTTATTTAAAATGTTAAATTATTTGTTCATGGTTCATAGTGTTTTTACTTAACATAATATATTCTACGTTCACAAATTATTGATAGCAATGGTTATGTGATGTCGTGCAATAACTGTGGTCAGATGGTTAGATTGTACCTTGATGTTCAAACAAGAATTCCGATCGATAGTTCATGACGCAAAGGTTTCAGATTTTCTGCAGGTGCTTACTACGATGTGACATTTATTTGTCTACAGTTATATCTTGTGTTGTAATTAATTGATATTATCAGTTTAGATAGAGGTTGATCAGTATATAGTGTCTTTAAACCGATTTTTTTCTAATCGAATAGGAAATTATAATATTTGTGATTGATTTTTCTCTCATCAGTCAACACTACTTCTAATTAAATACTTTCAATGAACCTCTTTATAAATGATTAAAATATCTACAAACTATATAAGTTTTTAAAACAGTTATCGCGAAAACACGATCATAATTTTAAGGGGAATCCACTGGTTCCGAAACAGAAATGAAATTGAATTAAACAACTGATAGATCTCGAAACAGTTGATATATATATGTATGTAATATTTATGTACAACAGTCAAATTTGTTATCAATAAGATTTTGAGTCTAGTTATAAAATGTTGGATTTAAACACGGAGTTTCTACCAACATTTCCTCCTCTATTCTTTGGTGTTAATTATGTTTACATCTGAAGTTGGTTCTTGGTGAAAATTATTTTCCATATATAAAAACATTTTTAACAAAACAACTTTATCATAGTTGACTTGTGATGAGATAAACTCAGCTAAAATTCTGTCGATGGATTGTAACTTATAAAATCAGTCAGATCATAAATGATATAGTTATTCATCGATAAGATTAGATGTAATGATCATATTATAATTAAAAGTTGATGGATATTTAAACCGTAGACAATCAGCTTCGAATTTAATGGTACTCATCGTCGTTGCTTGCTATTTAGTTGTCTAAATAGTTCATGTGATGATATTCATGTGTGCTGAAGATTGAAAAATCACATTATCTAATTAGTTTCTTATTTTCAATGGTTAAGATCATGAGTCAGTTGAAGCTAGACCACCATGGAAAACCTGGAAGCACTGGACGGCCGTTTCGTCCTATTGTGGGACTCCTCAGCAGTGCGCATCCACGACCTCGCCCCCTGCGAGATTCTTATTTGTTTTTTTTAAATGCACTTTATTTACTCACTGTTGTTCATAAATCAAAAAACGGTCAAACAATTTTGTAAAAGTGAACATTCGTAATCGATTAGAAATTACTGAATCCATACAAATATAATTAATTTTGTATGATGTTAAATAGAAGATGAATTATAAACTTTCACATTGCATGTTTGTTGATTTGGCCAGATAGTAATAATGATAATAACGAATATTATCTTCAGGTCATTAGATTTTCACAGCACTTCTCTTTCATTTCTATTTCCCTACTAATTTCTATGATAAGTTAATTTAGATTTACTGAACCATATGGTTGATTATGTTTGACTGACTGACTTTAAAATAACCAATGATGTGTTGTCTGATTGAAAGACAATCGTGAAATATACATCGTATAGACTAATAATTAATAATTCGTAAGGATAAATTTATCGTTATCCTATGATTGATATGTCGATGTACATTTGATTTTTTTGTCTGGATTTTTTTCGAGTTATCTGAAGTATGGAATAAATAAACTTTTGCGACGTGATGTAAACCGAGAATGACAATTTCTAGACCATAAATGTATAGGTTATAATTGCTATAAAGCCTAAATCTCTTAATTTCAGTTCCATTAAAAAAATAGTAGCAAAACAAATAATCTAAAATAGAATGGAACAATTATTATTACATCCTGAATTTCGAAGTGAATAAACGTATATTTTGTATGGGATTATATGTATGATCATTTGAGAGAATTTTCTTCATTTCATATCAGAAAATCATATTAGATCAAGTTAGCTGGTTTAAAGAACTCTTCAGCAATCCTTTAACATAGTATTATTTAACACATTAAGTAGATTTGCTGATGAATAATTGTAATCTATATACAATTATTAATACCAGTCATGCATTTTTTCTTTATGTCTGTTAAACAACAGCTAAATTATGACAAAAGCCAGAGCAGCAAGCGTAGCGAATTAAAGTGAATTCATTTATTTCATGGACTCTGGTCAGCCATTTTCAACCTAGAAACAATAGCCATAATTATTTTACTTATACATTATATTATTGAAGATTAGTAGAATAAAGATGACAGTTTTCGAAGAATTATTAAGTGGTAAATTGTTTTTAACTGAAATGTTTCCTTTGATGAAAATATCTTTCGGTATTGCTACATGTAGAATATTCTAATAGCGATCATTGCAAATAGTAAACAAGCCATATATTATGCACGTTTTTCTATTTTTAATTCTTTCCAATCTACGTGCACTCGACGTAAGCTTAGTAAATGAAGGGTATATATATATATATTATTTCGCTATAATTGAACAGCATTTTATGTGAAATAAGCTTAATACACTCAAAACTAGATCTCTTCAGATTAAATCCTTCTGAATTACGTTTTGGATATATACTACGAAAGAAATCACTTGTTGAAAGTAAGTACGGAAAGTTGTAGTAGTCAAACTTCTGCAACACAGATTATCTTTTTATCATTTAACTGTCAGCCCACTATTTGCATAAATTGATTAGTTTAATTTTTTGCAGTAAGAACTACAGTTCTCGTTTACCTGGGACTGACGATCTCTTTGTTCATTCTGCACATAGTAATCGCTAAGTCAAAGGTCAATTTCATCTGCTTAGTTTTATAACCTTACTGGTCATTCACAATTTAGGAGTGTAACTCTTTAATTTTCATTTCAGTGACTTATATTTCATGATACTAAACCAATAATGTTATTTATTGACAATTTCTCTATTTTAATAGAATAATTTCCGCTCATGGACGAATGCCGCGTTTACCTTATCTTGACGAAAGAATTGTGAATTTTTTAGCTAAAATTCCTTTGGAATTTAAAGTAAGTACTTATATAATTGTTTACTCTAAGTGCCTTTTATGGTAAATATCAGCACAGCTGAAAGTAAGAATTAGTTTATCCGTAACATGAGACTGATAAACAGGTTTTAGTTGATTATATGTGAGTAGTTGTTGAACTATATTTTCTAAAATATATTTCGAATAAATCTTTCAATTGACTGTACATTCAGATTAAAACTAGCTATACTGTCTTCATTCTTTGATTTTGTAATCTAATTTAAGGTGGGTTGGGGATGAAATCACTTGGATTGGGTTAGTGACCATAGCCTATATCTACGTCTACTTCCGTTTTGGCACCCGGTCGATACACTAGTCGTGACACCAAGTAAGAGTGCCACCAAAAACTGATTATGCACATCTGTACGTGTTGAGTTAGTCGTAATTTACATAGAGGGTTGGTCTTAGTTAGACAATCACCGAGAACCAGGAAACGTTTAACAGCTATTTTGTCTTAGTATAGGGTTGATAAGTACGGATTCGCGACCTTATCAGGGATCTAACCCAGTACCTTAAATCACACAGCGAGCGCTTAACTTCAGGAGTATTGAGTCGGCAAATAGTTTTGATAAAAAGATAAGAAATAAAACGTTATTTTCGAAATCATGATATGGAATGAGATTTATGATGTATATAATACCTGGTTTGTTTTAATACTTGGTGCATATTGATTAGCTACATTAACAATATTATTCCGAAAGTGATTTATGTGACCTATATATGTAACAGATTAATTAATTCTATTAGCGAAGTACAAAATTACTATCATCAGTATGAGTTGCATTGTTCAACATTACATGATGCTATCAATTTTTAAAGTTTATTTAAGTGCTTTCTTAACCATGTGCTTGTCTGAAATTGTGTGACATAAATTAATGAAATGGTTTATTTATAATAGTACATTACATCATTTCCAGATTTTCAATGAATATATAGTACACTAAATAGATAAATAATGTGTGTTTTACTCTACTTACTAACTTATAACTTCCTGAAATAGATTTGATGTTGTAAATTAAAAAAGCTGTCTAATCTAATTAGATTCTATTTATGAATTCAAATAAGTAATCATAATGAATGGTCACAATTGAGGCAAATACGTTTTAAATTATACAGAATCTAAACTTGGAACTGTAAGTGGAATGAATTTGTCAGTGGTAATGGATGTTAAAATGAATGATAATAAACATTTGGATCGCTTTCTAAATCATATGAAATTAGAGTATTTATTGATGCCATGATGGGTTTTTTTCCAAACATTTTACATCTAACTACCAACTCATTAGTGGAAATTTTTTCATCCTTCATGCCGTACTGATAATTTATACATGTATTATTTATTTGCTCGGCAGAAATGATATGAGTTGAGAATAATTAGGGAAGAATATTTTTTTTATTTTAAATTATAAAAACTTGACATTTGACAAAATGTCCCAGATTTTTTATATACATCGGAATGGGGTTAATACAGAGATTGGTTGTATCAAATGTTATTGAAACTCATCATCGTTTTAGACTCATAACTTCACACACTATCGAATCTCGAACCTTCAGGTTTTACAGAGAATGTAATAGCACTGAGCTTAATTCCTGTGCTTCAAACTTTGGATTTGTCTTATTACACGGGGTAATTTAAGGTTAACAATGATAGATGTCATTCGATCCCATCAGGGGTTGCACCCATGACCTTCAGATCACCTTTATGTAGTCTCATACTGGAGTGAAACAATTCTCTGGTTCATCGTAATTTTTGTCCATGGTATGGTCGACTTATGCTCTCAATAACTTCTGTTATCGTTGATTAAACTGTTTATAATTAATTTAGCCCACTTGGAAAATGAAAAACATTTATCTGCAATATATGATCTTGAGCACTGAATTTTATCCTTCATTATTATTATTATTATTATTATTATTATTATTATTATTATTATTATTATTATTATTATTATTATTATTATTGATATGTATCGTTTCGTCGTAAGTATGCACATACAAGGTTTAGTTGGATTAAGTGGGTGGTAATGTAATTATATAAATGCATATATAACTCATCGCGAATTCCATGGGACAAATTAGTTTGTTCATTTGCTGTTTTCCTGTTTATTAATTTATTTACATTTTTCTCGTTACAACGGAAAAACTTTTTATTTATTTATGTGAAATTCCATTATATTATCAACGACATTAGTGATGACAACATCCTGAAAATTTGTGAAATAATGTTTATTTTGTGTTAAATATAATTTTGTTAACTTATTTATGTGTTTTTGGAATTTATTTTGTTTGTTTTCATGTGTTGTAAATGTGATTTATTCACTATTGGCTTGTGGTAATCTATTAATTTGTTAAAATGTTATTTTGTGCGTGTGTACTTCTTTTTTGGTGTCTCTTCGATTTTACCGTTGAGATGAACAACTATTAATAAATAATTGGAAATGCTTGTGTTCAATCGGACAACTAACTCTAACTTTTTTATGTTTGTTAGTAAATAACAGGATTTGTGAAATTACAATTTTCTCGTCACAACTAAATTTGAGTTACACAGTATCGTAATTAGAATTAGTATTGCTTTATTAATCATAACCTACTGAACCTTCTAATTCATGCTTGGTTACATTTTTAATGATAGACTTCTCATTCAAATCCTTAGTATATGTTGAAAGGTACTAGCCACCTATTCAAATCATTCCTTAAATGGAAATAATCGAGAACGTCAGAGTCATAAAATCAACCGGTTATGTCACAAAAAAGCTTGCCCTCACATAAAGAACGGTGGACAAATGAGGTTATTATTATTACCAGTGTCTGCTGACATGTTTTCACGTATATTTTACAGTTAAATGGAGATATAACTAATGACGTTCTACACAAGAGAGTACCCAAGGATATAAACATAATGTTTGCTTCAGTGTATTTATTGTTTGGCGTGGATCTTCATTGGTTGTCATATTGGGAGGCTCACTAGACAACTTTACTAAAAAAAATCATGGGATCGACTTCTTGTAAAGACGTGAAAGACGGTTATTTTTCAGGTCTTACCACTTAAACTAAAATGTAATCAGATCGAACAATGAAATATTGAACAACATCTGTTTCTTAGAAACCGATTTTCATAGTACGTTTGTTGGAACTGATTATTATACAAAAATACATATAATTACGAAGGTTTTATATCGAGAATTATGCATTAATGCATTTAGTGCCTAATGATATAGCTCAACTGTTTTTTTCATACAGATTTCATGAGATTTTCTGGTTTTAGAATTATTAAGAACCTCTTCTATTTGTGTTGCATGTCTAGATAATCTGGGTATTTTACAAACTGGATTTGAATCATTGTTTAGTTCCGAATTCTCTACTTGTTTTTGCCGTTACTATTTAGAAAATAACCTGTCTATTCCCTAACCAAAAATCATGTCTTTATTTTAAAATCGATACAATTAATTACGATCTCGAATACTACGAGAATGTGTCATTGAAATTCAGAGTCTAATTAACTGAATGGGTTTTTCTGTAATTAATCTGTAAGGTTTATTCTGGGTCAAACAAACTGGTTATTCTAAAATCTAATCAAAGAGACACGGTTTAATATAATTGCTAGATGTAAATTGATTAAATGGCTTATTTATGAAGATCTGATTATTAACGAATAGTTTTTTTTCCCTTAACTCCATCTAATCCAATATTTTATGAAAGATTTATTGGGAAAAGTCAAGAAAAATTAACCCAAGGAAATTGAATATACGCATACAAATGTTCAGAGAAATTTGCAAAATACAACAAACGTTACGCGTACTCAAAGTACAAATGATCAGTAAAAATAAACAATGTATTTGATTAAGTGGGCAAAAGTTCGGATGTACAAAACAAGAATAATAATATAACCAATTAGTAAGTGGTTTTCTGTAGAATTCCCACCCTATGCACTTTTATACCAACTATTATATAAAGAATAGACTTTGCAGTTGGAAGTTCATAATCATTCAATTTGCTTAAATTTCTAAACTCAGTATCAACTTTAAGTGATCCACATATTATTTTACAAACTGGAATATCACCGCACTCATTTGCTCATGGTTATTAGTTTATATTGCTGATTTATTTTAAGCAGATAACGAGAGGTAATGGTACAAACTGAAATTTATCAACAAAGTATTTCTGTAATCATTTTGATAGTCGTTGTTTTATTAGTTGACTATTGAAGATTTAAATGACATCCTGAGACTAATTGAAGCATAGTGCTTACTATATTAGATGATGAACCACGTCATTTCATGTATTTTTTATCACTAATTAAGTTCTATCTTTGCAGCATTTAGATTAAAGTGACGAAAATGTATTGGAATTGAAACGAGTTTATTAACTCATTTGTAATGGTTGTATTAGATCTCGTTGATGTTAAAAACTGCAATCGATCAGTTTATTTTGGAGTACGTATATCATGTGCAGATTGCTTCCATATGGCTTCTAAATTGCAAGCATTTTTAAACAGAATTAGTGGTAGTGGTTAGCAATGAAATGCAGGTCGCGTCCTTTGTTCTGTTTAAGATTCCTTAGCTGAACGTACCTCTATCACTGTGTTGATGTTCACATCGGAACTCGAACCTACTATTTTTCCCTTCAAACTCAAAATGCGTTATCTACTTAGCTACTTTGTCGTAACACATGTTCTAAATTCTACTGATAACCTCTTTTCAAGTCTCTTTAAAAATGTTTATAGTTTTTAACTCAATTAATTCTAAATATACAGTTTCGTTTTTAAAATAAATAAATGTAATAATTCTATTATTGTATATTTTTAAAACTTTCGTTCAATCTTCATTCTTCTCGCCTCCCTCTTAAAATTGACACAAACCAACTATAGATATATTCAGAAATACATGAAACTATTTTTCACACATTTCATTGAATTTGTTTCGTTCTACATCTGTTCTAATCTGGTTGCCATCAATGCACATGTTTACAGCCCGTCATAACAAGTAAAGCACCACCAAATGCCCTGGTACGACCGAGAGTTGGGAGAGTCTACTCTTGAAATGCTCTCACATGGCCACGCGTATATAGCCTCTGCTAGGGAATTCCTACTCACTGCCTTCTCGTGTCGTGGGTGTTGTTTACGAAATTGAGAGGACGAGAAGGGAGTGTCCGCCGCTTTAACTGGGTTGGTGGACATGGAGAGTCCACCTATGGGGGTTGAAAAAACCTGGTTCTAAACCAGTGGTGCACATGGGCTCCAGTATCCTAAAGGAACAAATGGCGTATGAGCCTATTGTTGATCACTGTCTATCATGGCAGTGAAACATGGCCGGTAAGAGTAGAGGATATTCGTAGGTTACTAGTATTCGATCATAGGTGTCTTCGAAACATTGCTCGTATATCATGGGACCATCGAGTAAGTAATGCAGTTGTTAGGAAACGGGTACTAGGTAAGGATGGGAAATCAATTGATGAAGTAGTGAAACTTCATCAGTTGAGATGGCTAGGACACGTGTTACGTATGCCCAACGACCGACTACCTCGACGTGCTATGTTCAGTGGTATAGGAGTAGGTTAGAAGAAAGCTCGAGGCGGCCAAACCAAAGCATGGCACAAGTCCATGAAGTCACTGACAAGTGGACTGAGTCATGTTGGTAGGTGTAGACTACCTGGTTGGGGACCACGAGATGATAGCAACCGATGGTTAGAGACCCTGAATGACATGGCTCAAAATCGTTTGCAATGGCGCAGGTGCATACACTTTTTGTGTTCTCCCAAATTCTAATCTTCTGAATTCTTCATGTCCCTTTTTTCCTCTTTTCAAATTTATTTGACTGGATTATACTCTTTAAATAACATCTCCAAACCCTAATGTTTCCGATTACTGCTTATAATCTTGCTACCTCTACCACTACGGGATTTGAATCGACCACTGCATCTCTGTGCTAAGGTGGTGTGGCAACTCGAACTGATGTACGTACGTACGAAGTTCTACGTTGTTACTGACTGACTGACTTAGACTTGTAGGTCAAAGGTTCAGGATGTGACCCCCTAAGAAAACCACCTGTTTCGGTTTGGGCACCCGGGCAGTATCACAGCCCTCACAAATATCAAATGAGATTTGTGTGGCGCATATGTATTTGGTGCTGCCTTGTACCAATATCTATGTGTTAAGATAAATAAATAAACAAAGTTCGCTCTAATATGCGGAATGTTTGGCAACATATCTATATCCTTATACGTTATAATCCTAAATATTTCATCATTTAGAAAAGAAGTAATCGATTGTTAGATGTATAAAAAGTTTTATAAATCGTATGGTTATTTATTTGTATACCTTTCAATAAACGATTTTAAAGGTTTGACCAGTTTAGTTTACTTGGGCTTGTGAATCCAGGAACGTTGATACGTTATGGGGCTCTTTTCTACCACAATATTCACATGCAACATGGCTTAGCAAACGATAATTCAGTAAATCCGATATAAATTCTCAATATTTTCAACGTCTATGTATAACCGTACTAACTACGTGGGTTTCGTTACCATGGTTCTAACATGATCACTTTTCCCCATATCACATTTACAAGATTCGTTTCCAATCCTATAAATATTCGTATTATGTGACTTTCCTCATTACAGTTTTTTTAGGACAGTGTTCTTCCAAATTGCTTTCCCATGATACACTTCATAAACGTTTTACTGTTTTTTTATTGACTGAGATCAAATAATGGATTTTCTAATCAAAACTCCATGTGTTGGATTTCTCGTATAGAAACATATTTGAATATGCAGGCTTTCTGTATTATTTCCAGCTTTTTCTACATAGAAAAAGATCTATGACTCAATGTTTTAATTTATTTTAAAGTTTTTGTTGATAAGACAATAATTAAGAACTGTATAATTCACTACCTGAATAAGCAAATACATGACAATCGTTCAGTACTTTTCAAGTCGGTGGGAAAGAGAACTGCAATTAAGTTTTTTTTTAAATCCATTTTTGAATATTTTACGCTAAGAAATAAGGGATTTAGCGAGGAAAAAAAATTTTTTTGTTGTATCATAAAATTTTGTTTAGATATTTCTCATGATTGGTTCAATCACTAAGTATATTTTCAAATCTCTCCTAGATCGATAATTTCATTTTAATTAACTGAGCTCTACTCATTTTATTACCTATTGCAGCTACCGTTCAGTAATCATGTAGTCATTTATTTCTTCCAGCTCTCTGGCCTTTATTTTATTATCATTATCATAAACTATTCTATCATATAAGATATATATATTTGTAATATTTTCTACTCAATATCTGAAATTTATTTACATAGCTCATGTACAGGGCTGATATTTGTAAAAACAAGTTTCCAGTTATACTCATTTGTGTATTTTGTATAAAAAAAATCATTTTGTACACATACTGATGATAATCAAATGAATTTATGTTATTCTGTTCAAATCTTTGTTCTTGCTCTTTTCAAAGGAATCATATGTATGAAAAATGTTTTTTCTTTGTTTGTTTTTTTATTTCGTTTGTAATTATGATTGTACATTACAATATGTATTTCAAAACTAAACAATGAAATCACTATTCATTAAATATTGATGAGTTAGTCAATAAATTTCGAATTATTTATGAAGGAATAAGGATAGTTTATTAAGAAGGTGAATTTAATGGTTATAATATATAACGAAATTATTTTATCAATAAGTTATTATTATTATTATTATTAGTTTTATTCAATATTATATTATTGGTACAATATAGAATTCTCAGCACAAAGTATTTCAACAAGTTTCCGTTTCTTTCTTCTTGGTCGGTCCTCGCGATAAATACTGAGTGATCGCCAGTTAGATGTTAGCAGTCCAGTAAATGAACATCTGAATAATGTACATTCTTTTCGTTGTACATTGCCAGCAACCACATTGTCTCTTATTGAGCTTTTCGTAACTTTGACAACGAAAGGTTCTACACTTTTCAGAAACGCAGCAGAATAGGTTGTGCAATTAATAGACATAATCATATATTAAAACAAGCAAAAATAGATAACTTGTTGAAATATCTAGATGGCAGGAACAGGTAGCCCAGATGCTCAATCAGGCCGCCCTCAAGGATATAATCTTACAAATGTAGATGCTTAAGGGATCTAAGTGTTTTTTTTCTGATAATTAATATATGATGTCAAGGGATTGCGCAATAATAACTAGTCACGTATTCGATAAGCTTTGTTAGATGTTCATCACTTGAGATAGAATTATGAAAATCCTAATAAGTATTATATTGAAAAATCTTAGCCGGTCGCATAGAAGAGCTAATCGATTGGTCAATAAATCTCATTATATAAATACAAGACTAAGATATAGAGAAAATGTTGGCTCATTTCGAAAAGAATTATTTGATTAGCTAGATCGACATAATGAATTAGGAGGTTTCAAAAACTTCTACTGGAGACATATAGGTTAGTTTTACTTATATGGAAACTTGTGACTTCTTTTAACCGATAAAAGACACGTTTTGTTCTTCCTTCTCACTGTATTTATTTTAGAATCATTAATATTTACATTTTCAACGTATCCGTCGAGAGTTTTGTATATTATAAGCGAATGCCTGTTCTGCTACCTGTATAAAAATTTTGACACGACTGCTTTAGTCTTGTAATGTTTTTAAGGTATCTTAGTTTCTTCAACTAGATTTCCAGCCTACATATTAATAAAATGTTTGCTCTGTGTATCATTTCGGTGCACTATCTCCCCTTTAAATCAGTCATGACTATTGATTCCTGTGATGGCATCGTTTTATTTTAATTTCTAGCTTATATTTATTTATCTGCCCATTTGTTGTCCGATTTTGCTTTTTCACAATAATTAGATAGTCTTTTTTTCTAATGCACAGTGTTAATCTAGTCCTGTTAACTTAATTATAATATAGTTGTTGAGCTAAGTGATTGTACATAGTGGTGTACTCTCTGTTAAGTAGTTGATGGTAAGGAACAGTAGTGTCTGAACGAAGGTTTCGTATTAGTTATCGTTCCTCAACAAGGGATGTCTGGAAGATTGAGTGAACTGCTGCTCTCCGTAAAAGTTGAACCTTGGTCACTCTATTTTGATGTACAGGTACCTCCAGTTTTGGGATTGATCTTTGCTTAACTTAGTTATTTTTGTGGCTCGTGTGCACAGATCGTAATAGCGGAGAGCAGTTGTATTGATCTAGTCTGTGTTGATTAGTTAGCTTGGATTGTCTATTTAGTACCGATGACCTTAGTCTAACCAATGAGGTTATACTAGTGCGATTACCATCGAGAATAATAATTAACGACCATTGGCGCAGAATGCAGTTTCCATCCTTGTTCGACTGATAATAAGGGATATAAATGGTTTTTGAGTTGAATTCTCAAGAGAAACATTGATGATGTTTAAATATGATATTCCTATCTCATGTGACAGCATAGTAACTTTATACTCACTTGCATTCATTGTTTTGAACAATTTGTTAATGATCATGTGTTATGTCATTTATCTTCGTATTTATAAAATTCACCGTATTAGCCTAAAATATTTTTTTGTGTCTATGTTGCATAGAAATACTATTATTGTATATTTATTTTAAGTTTTCTTATAGCGATTTCCCACCACTGAAATATATCGACTGAAGAAGTCCTGAAGATCTAGTACTATTTGTCATATATATATATAGTAGTTTCGTACTTTTTTCAAGGAAACGAACCACAAACTTATCATTTGAATTAAATTAAAATAATCAGTTTATTTTATTTCTATACTTTCAATAGCGATTTCTGAGTCTGTTATGCTTCGTAGTTATGTATCTTTTATGCATACTCGTTATAGATGAGTATTGTCAACTCTTCAACGAATCAAAATTTATCATGTTTAAGTATTTATCTTATTTTAAAATACAAAGTTATTGATATATGACTAGTGTGTTTAGGTTAGACATTTCGAAAAGAACATACGAACAAATGTGATTGGGGGATTGGAAACTTGAAATAAGCAAACTGTAAAACCATTTGTTTACTGTATGGATTCCTAGGTTTTTGTTTAAAAGTAATCAACATTGTAAGAAAAAGGTATGGAATTATTGTTCACCAAAATTCCTCACTAAGGAATGTGTACGTTTACGCAGACTTTTGGTGTATGATGAAGTTTTCTTCATTGCAAAGTGCCATGTTGGTCTAAAGTTCAAATTTGTGTACTGATTGGTGATCTGCATAAAGATTCTCGGTTAGTTATCCGCGGTCTGATAAGTAATTTGCAGATATATCATATTGAAAATGTTTTCCATATATAAGTTAACTGTTTTTGTTTATTACTGTATGTAAAGGCATGTTATTACGGTTATCCGCACCGAAATGTTAAATGAAATTGATCCCAATGTTACAATATAGTCATTTTTAAATGAACCCTAGGTTTTGTGAACTTGTCAAAAGCTCTTACCTGTGATCTCGAAAGAAATGGATTTCTCCTTGTAATTCAAGTAAACATAACAGTGCTTCAGTTGGATATTTTACCACCGAGTCAATCGACCTGACCTAACCCCTCGTAAGACTGATGTTCCTTCTGCTGAACGTGTTCAACTACGTGATAATAAGAAAGGTCCGCAACAATATCTAGTCATTAGGATTCGTGGTTACACAACAAACCTTATCAGTAAAACACCATAGGAACAAAGAAGTAGACAACATGAGAATTATAGCTTAGTTACCAATGAGTGAGAACATTAAAGACATCTGAATTCTAAACAAGATATTGACATTAATATCCAATTACCTCCAAGTGATTATTTAATTATGCAACTAAAATCAAATCGTTCAATAAACTTTATATGATTTTCATTTTATTAGATAAATCCAGATCTGCCTAAAGGTCAAGGAGAGAAATTTTTGTTACGTCAAGTTGCTTCAATGTTGAATTTGAATTATGCATCTAAACAACCGAAACGTGCAATGCAATTCGGCAGTCGTGTGGCTAAAGCTGAAGGATCTAAACGTTTGATTGGATCAGCTGACCAAATAAAGTTTGCATATCAGTCTGAATCACAAAAGTAGTTATTACCATCTAATAAACTTTGTATTATGCAATAGTACAATTATCCTTATTTTATTACCCTGATACATAAATACATTACTTTTTATAAATAAAAATACAATAATTGATAAAGTTCGATTATTTTCGTATTTCCGGAAATAAAATCAGCGATTATCTATTGATAATTTGTTTATTTAAGCACATAAACATTGGTACAAGGAAACACCAAATATATATGCACCACACTTCGTCATTCGATCTGTATGAAGGCTGGAATACTGCGCGGGTGCCCAAACCGAAACAGGTGGTTTGCTTAGGGAGCCACATCCTGAACCTTTGACCTACAAGTCTAACCCACAAGTCAGTGGAGAAACGTCAGGAGATACAGTCCCATGATAGCCAGTGATCAACAATAGGTTCATACGCCATTTGTTCCTTCAGGATCCTGAAGCCGATGTACACCATTGGTTTAGAATCCGAGTTTTGCAACTGCTATGTTCACCAACCCGATTAGAGCTCCGGACATTCGTTTTTCGTCCTCTCAATTTCGTAACCAACATCTCCACAACGAGGAGACAGTGAATAGGACTTACTTGGCAGTGGCTGTATTGATAATATGGTTATTTTTATGCCAAGTAAAGTGTCAATTAATATTTTGACCATTTCCTTTTCTGTTTACAACAGGATTTTAATTTTTAAACTGTTATCATGAATTAATATTGTTTAAGGTAGGTTCAATTCGCCCAAAGATAATTGAAAAATAGTAATTGACGGTCGTGTTTACCTTTTCGATCTGTACAACTGAAATCACAATATTTTCTTAATCAGACTTTAAATCATTGTCTATGCAAATGATAACTGACTTCGAAATTTTTTCATCTTAATTTTCCACTTCAATCAAGCTAGTTGTATTAGGTTATTACATACCTTCATTATTGTACTTCGTTCCTGATATTCAGTTACTGATTTCCAAGTATTAATTTTGGGGCGAAGTTATAAGATGCTTAATTTTCAAACCATTGTTCTAATTGGTTTTCGCTTCATTTTAAAGTGAGCATACATTTTAGGAGAAAAATGCTTCAGATCCACTGTTACATTGAAAGAGGAGCACATTAATTTTAAGCCCAATTTTACCATCAGTCTCTATGCTTCACAGCATCCTTTTTTGTGAACTTATGTCTTCACTTGTCCACAAGTTATCTTGATACCTGTGCGGTTACGCCGCAGGATCGTATTGTACTGTTCATATGGTAATGTAAAAACCTTAAAGGTATCTGGTTCTTCTGAAAATCAATGCAAAGTTACCCTCCTCTAGGCGATATTTATTTACAATTGTGTGTGACTGTTTTTCACATTCATTTCCCCACTGTTATCGTAAACTGACTTATGCTACAGATTAATAGAAGATTGGTAATGCAACTCGATAATCAATTGATGATTTGGTTATAACTGGTTATTAACAAAAAAAATACAATTCATAAAACACAATATCAATTTAATGCTCCCTACTATTAGGGATATTGGTTTAGTGCGAATTTTATCTTTAAATTACCTTGTTTCCTACAAACCGCTATATATATATATATACCAGTTACCCTGTCCCATCATTCGACGATTTGTAGTCCTTAACAATAACAAGTGTTTCATCCATTCCTATAGTTTTATTTTCGACGTACTAAGTTACTTACTACTAAAAATTTTTATCCTTGTTTAGTTAACAGGAATTCTCCTTTCAGAGTTTCAGACAATATTTAGTTATTTTTATGAAATACTTTTGATACACATAAATTCCTGTTTATCTGTTTTTGTCTCTTCCACCCTGTTCTTTTTATTTATTTTCTCCCTCAAAGAAAAATATAATGTAAATGTAACTTATAAATAAGTATCATTATTTTCTAATGTTTTGTTTCAAATTTTCATTGAGATTATGGAAAAACAGAAATGAACATACCATTACTCTCTGTTCACTAGAAAACAATTAGGATACATTGTATATAAAGTAACAAAATAAACAGTGGACAGGGTATTATATCTTTTTCATATTCATTAAGTTTTAATGTGCGTGTAGAACTATGGATACTTTATTCTATCAGAACAAAGATGATGCTCATATTGTTACCTCATTTTATGTATAATAACATTTCATCAGATACAAAATGATTTTAGTTTTCAAGGCTGTAGGTATAGCCTAGCCCAATAGGTTATGTTTACCCATTATTATTATTATTTTCTTACCATTGTTATGATTTTTGATTCATCAGGGATTTTTTATGTTACAAACATTATTTGTAAGTTTATTACTAGATCGTTTTTTGTTTGTGTTTTCATGTAAGGACGAAATGTGAATCACTTTATTTTCTTTCTGTTATCTCTATTGTTATTCTGTTTGTTTCACTAGTAATTCTATTGCTACCATTAATATTAGTTACTCTCATAATAATTATTATATACAGAATTATGATTGGCGCTTAATAAAACATGAATTATTGGTTTACATCACTTTCGTGACCTACAAGTCAGTTTATCTAACAGCTATCAAACGTACCCATACTGATAATTGGGATTTAAATTCATTTCAGTTAACTTACATTGTGTTCTTAATTGTTAACGACAACGACTACTATGTATTTATTATTTATTCTCGACAACAGTATTTGATCATTCATGTCCCTAACAACGTATAAAGAGTCCATAAAAATGATACCACAATTTGTTAGGCGGCACAGTTGTGCTGATTTATTTGGTTTCAAGAAACTTTGTTTGAATGAAATTTCTTGTTTGCAAACTAGGAAATATGCTTCTATAACAGCAAAGATATGAAATACAACAGAATATATGGATTAATTTATGTTAAAGAGAGGGTATTTTCATGTTTACTGTTAAGAAGTCTGCTGTCATCATTAATATATAATTCTTTGCAATAATGACAAGGGTCATACTAATTAGCCAATAAATATCATAAAGTCTAATCCCTAGTTCTTGTCGAATTCTGTCGACTAGGTTGTACTGTAACTGGTGGTCTTAATAGGCTGTCACTCTTGAATTGGATAACCTAGTTCTGGATTATCTTATTGTAGTGCTGCCTGATTCCGGTCCGATTTCCTGAAGAATCATCAATTACTTCATATTTTCTAACAGTTCGTAATGACGAGCTGGTTTTTTACGGATTTCCTCGGATAAATTATTAAAGCGACATTATTAGTATCGATGGATAGAATGGAATACTGCCATTGAATAATCTTATTTTTTGTATTTTACAAATGACTTACCTCGTTACTTCCTCTTAATTCATTTTATTGTATTCTATCTTCCTTCCGTTTTGCTATATTTCTTTCTGTTCTCTCTGTAGTTTGTCGCTATATTTGTCATTATTATTATAACTAACAGTGAGAATGTTACTGCTAACAATATTTTTGGCTATTTTTACAACCCATAGGGAATAAATTGATATTTTATTTCTGTATATACCATCAGCTCATAAATTATACGCTGGCTTAGAATAGAGAATGAGACATAAGGGATTTTCTTAGAAAATACTCAGTGGTTTTCAAAATCATTAAAAATGTAACTGTTGCCTGGTTTCATTATTTATTTATTTGAACACATAAACATTGATACGAGGGTGCACTAAATAGATGTGTCCCACACAATAACAATGAGGTTGCGAGGAGATAGAGAATGTAAAGTGCGTATAATATAAGAAAAAAACAACGAACATAAACTAGTGTGTGAGAGCGAAATAATATTAATAATGGGAGAAACAGTTCAGTTAGCAAGAATATAACCAGAAAGAATTCTTTCAATTAAGGAAGTTACGTTCATTTTTTATGAATAAAGTTACAGCAGGATCACCACTGGCTTCTATTCCGAACCATATCCGATAATGTCTCTAGCCACTGTGTTGCACCATCTCTAGGACTCCAATCAGGGAGTCGTGATGGACCAACACAAGCCAATCCTGTACAGCTTTCCTTCATATCACGACACCAGGTCATACACTAACCGCCTCTCCACTTTTTACAACCGTTCCCAGCGTCGGAAAGTAATGCGCGTTCAGTGGCCCGAGATCTGACTCCAGTTATGTCGTACAATGATTGATTATTATTGAAATATTCACGACAGCTATCTTAGTATATAATCATCGACTTAAATCGCGTTGTTGAATAACAGAATTGAATAAGTCAAATACGAGAATGGATGTTTGAATACTTACATGTTGTACACTCATTTATCTGGGCCACCAAATGCCCTGGTACGATCGAGAGTGGTGAGAACCCGCTCTCCCTCTCCAAATGCTCTCACACGGCCACGTGTATACCGCCACTACCAAGTAAGTCCTATTCACTGTCTCCTCGTTGTGGAGATGTTGTTTACGAAATTGAGAGGACGAAAAACGAATGTCCGGAGCTCTAATCGGGTTGGTGAACATAGCAGTTGCAAAACTCGGATTCTAAACCAATGGTGTACATCGGCTTCAGGATCCTGAAGGAACAAATGGCGTATGAACCTATTGTTGATCACTGGCTATCATGGGACTGTGTCTCCTGACGTTTCTCCACTGACTTGTGGGTTAGACTTGTAGGTCAAAGGTTCAGGATGTGGCTCCCTAAGCAAACCACCTGTTTCGGTTTGGGCACCCGCGCAGTATTCCAGCCTTCATACAGATCGAATGACGAAGTGTGGTGCATATATATTTGGTGTTTCCTTGTACCAATGTTTATGTGTTTAAATAAATATAACATTTATCTGGACAGATAATCAGAAGGACGAAGGGAAGCTTAATGCCGCGCGATGGAGAAGGCAAGTGAGCCAACTCGATTCAATCAAGCGTTAATCGATATTTATAATCACACAAAAATAAGCTACAGACATGTGATGAGTAGGATAAGATGTACACTCACATACGCTTATATAACAACGGTCAGCGTTGATAAGTGAATAATTAACAAGGTCAAAATGGGATTTGATAAGACTCAATAAATTGGCTTGTCCAGAAGCTAGAATAAGGTATATGGGGTTCACATAGTAACCGACCCTACACACGGCGTGGAATTCTCTGGGACGACATTTGTATGACTTGTGCAAGCCACCGAAGTCGATGTTTCAAGTTAGTGACACTGATTGAATTGCCTCTGTGCCAGAACACACGACGCCGAACCTCCGCATTACTAACATAGTGTTGGTA